CACGCAGCTCCCAGGAGCTCCCTGTCTACTGCTCGATTGGCTCGATTAGTTAAACCGATCAGCCTCCTGGAGATCAATTAAATGCTTAAAGAGTACCAGATTTGCACATGGAATGAAAGAACAAAGGTTCCCTGTGCCGGGCTGGGGGGGCGGATGTGTTACTGGATCTGTAGGACAGCACAGACAGTAGAACATTTGTGCTGGTGAGCAAATGTGTGTCTGTGAGCAAGTGGCTGTGTGTTTTAACCCCTTGAGAACAAGAATCCAAGCAAATCCCGGACCCCTAGGTTCAAAGAAAGCTTCTACCCCACAACCCTAAGACTCCACCTCTTCAAACCTCCCCCACGTACACCCCTCTGTGTTTGCGCTGAACTCAAAATACTGCCACTACTGAATTTTGCACACAGCTGCTATCTAAATGGTGGTTAAAAATGATAGCTGCTCCCCCTGTTCCTGTCTCCAGGGACTGCGATGTCACTTGTGGTGTCTCCTTCTGTGTCAACGTTATGTCATCTTTTACGTCAGGCAAGTAAGCATCTCATTGTACATGGGTACATAAACTTGAAGGTGAAATAAAGCTTAGGAGCTCCTGAGTTTAGTTTAGTCCTGTTCAGTTTGGAAATTACTGACACACGTCACACAGTGTGCTCTCAGTAACAAGTATACTGGAACCAAATGCACTGAAGTCTGACAACGTTTTAAATGATGCTGTGCCACACGGGGCTGGCGTGTGACCTCCTGTTTGATTTCCATGGGGTCAGTGTATGCCAGTTTAAACATGTATGTGAAATGAACCCCCTCCATTTCGACAGCAGAGTTTGCTCGAAGACCAGCAACGCCAGCTGTATGGTCAGGTGTCACTCTGAAACTGTGCCTCAGCGGTACTTCAGGCACATTGTGGTATTTTTCAAAATGAAAATCTGCAGGATCGCCAACCTGAAAACCCGGCTGCAGAGGAGCTGGTCTAAGCTTGAACTGCAGTTTTGCAGTAAGAATAAGAGCTCATTGTTCATTGCTCTTGACAGGAAACGGTCCCTGTTCTATCACGCTGCAGGAAGCTGATAACCTGGTCAATGGGAAATCTGAAACGACAGTATTGGGCCTCTTTCCTGTTTCCAGGGAGTTTATCAAAGAAGGAGGCGAGGGGGGGGTTTAGAGATCCCTGCAATTTCGAAAGCGCGTTTGAACCGATATGCCTGACTATAGCAACAGAATTGTGATATTTCAGACCTGCGCCTTTAACCAAACAATCGACAAACAAAAGCGGGACAGTGTGATATTCTATTAATGAATATGTGCAGATTAGATCAAATACAAATACTGCATTTCGAAGCATGCTAACGTCTGTATTCTTGAATTAATGTAAATGATGTCATAATTCAAGGCCACGAAAGAGGATACCAGATATTGGAAAGTCCAAGGTTGGTATCCTGGTATCCTAGCAGGATAATACAGTACAGGCATCTGCAATGACAGCACTGCTGCCAGGTTCCTGCGATATCATCAGCCATGTCAAATAGAAAAATCCACCTTTTGTCACTTAAGTCTCTAGCAAATCTTTTATTTTCCTACTCACTTCACCGCTGTTTTTTTGCCATCACAATTCGGTTTCCTTAGAATATATTTCATTGCGGTGCAAAAAAAAAGGATTTTAAAAAACGAATGCGCCATCGTACAACATGTGGCACAGCCGATATCTGGGAAATCACCGCTACATTTAATGGCTGTTCCTCCGCAAACATAGACAATATCGCTAAACACCCAGGAACGGCTCCGTCTCAAAGCTCTTTTCAGGCCTTGATGAAAATATTACAAAATATTTACGCTTTGGTGCTCAACGCTACTGTACGTGATAAGCTGTCTCTTAAGCGAACGGGTGATTCAATACAGACACAGCTCTTTGGTGGGGCTTGCAATTACGTTATATATATATGCGTTGCTTAAACAAATGCCGCAAACAGAGGACTTTATACACTCTTTTTTAGGGCCCAAGACCGTTCTTGGTAGGCGTCGCTAATCATTAAAAGCAGTGGCTC